GCAGAGACAGTCTGGAGAATTCTTATTGGCTTTTGAAAGCCAATAGAATTAGACTCTATTCAAGAGAGTCTATTCTATTGGCTTTCAAAAGCCAATAGAATAAAAGGGAGTAGCACAGCTAAGGAAAAGGGGAAAAGAAAATGGCGGACTGCATTGTTTGGCGACCCCCGTGAAATTGTCGTTTGACCCCAAATGGGGTCCCGACCCACAGGTTGAGAACCACTGCTCCAAAGGTTTTCTATGGGGTTGAGATCTGGAGACTGGCTAGGCCACTCCAGGACCTTGAAATGCTTTTTACGAAGCCACTCCTTCGTTGCCCGGGCAGTGTGTTTGGGATCATTATCATGCTGAAAGACCCAGCCACGTTTCATTTTCAATGCCCTTGCTGATGGAAGGAGGTTTGCACTCAAAATCTCATGATACATGGCCCCATTCATTCTTTCCTGTTCATGGATGAGTTGTCCTGGTCCCTTTGCAGAGAAACAGCCCCAAAGCATGATGTTGCCACCCCCATGCTTCACAGTAGGTATGGTGTTCTTTGGATGCAACTCAGCATTCTCTCTCCTCCAAACACGACGAGTTGTGTTTCTACCAAACAGTTCTACTTTGGTTTCATCTGACCATAGGACATTCTCCCAATCCTCTTCTGGATCATCCAAATGCTCTCTGCAAACTACAGATGGGCCCGGACATTTACTGGCTTAAGCAGGGGGACACATCTGGCACTGCAGGATCTGAGTCCCTGGCGGCGTAGTGTGTTACTGATGGTTGCCTTTGATACGTTGGTCCCAGCTCTCTGCAGGTCATTCATAGGTCCCCTCGTGTGGTTCTGGGATTTTTGCTCATCGTTCTTGTGATCATGTTGACCCCAAGGGGTGAGATCTTGCGTGGAGCCCCAGATCGAGGGAGATTATCAGTGTTCTTGTATGTCTTCCATTTTCTAATTATTGCTCCCACAGTTGATTTCTTCACACCAAGCTGCTTGCCTATTGCAGATTCAGTCTTCCCAACCTGGTGCAGGTTTACAATTTTGTTTCTGGTGTCCTTCGATAGCTCTTTGGTCTTCACCGTAGTGGAGTTTGGAATGTGACCGTTTGAGGTTGTGGACAGGTGTCATTTATACTGATAACAAGTTCAAACAGGTGCCATCAGAAATGGCGAAAATCTCCGCCTACTTGAAGGACCATTCACAAGAAAGATAAATTATGGTTTGGAGAAGATGGATTGATTATATTCAAAAGAAATATGAAACTGAAAAGTATTACCTTGCTTTTGAGTAGATTTTAGATAATTATTAATAGTTTTAATTATATTATTATTTTTGTTTTAATTTGTTAATATTTGTTTTGAGGAGTTAAAGTGTGTTATAGTTTTGATTGATAGTATAGTTGGTTTATGTTAGTTAGATTATGTTTTTTTATTTGTTATTCTGTAATCAGCTCTGGGAAGTGGGGGAGGGGGGAAAAGGGTGAGGGGTGGGGGGTTTATATTGTAATAAATTTGTAAAACTTTTAATAAAAAAATTAAAAACAGGTGCCATTAATACAGGTAATGAGTGGAGGACAGAGGAGCCTCTTAAAGAAGAAGTTGCAGGTCTGTGAGAGCCAGAAATCTTGCTTGTTTGTAGGTGACCAAATACTTATTTTCCACCATCATTTGCAAATAAATTCTTTCCAAATCAGACAATGTGATTGTCTGGATTTGTTTTCTCATTTTGTCTCTCATAGTTGAGGTCTACCTATGATGACAATTACAGGCCTCTCTCATCTTTTTAAGTGGGAGAACTTGCACAATTGGTGGCTGACTAAATACTTTTTTGCCCCACTGTATATAACTTAATGGAATATGTGAACTCTCGGTATATCTCCGTGCTATTCCATTAAAACATAATATGTTATTTGAGCCCTGTTTGAGTCATTTATTATGAATGTTTTGTAAAAGTCCTGAGTGTGACTTTGGCTATAATAATGTAAGTTGTTCAGATGGGGGGGAGGGGAGAAGCTGCACTGCTTTTGTTGTTTGAGTACCTAGGAGGAAGGAGATACTCAGGGGATAATCCAACAATCATTGAGCCATTTAAACATTAAGCCAACTGTATGAAGTCTGCTTTTGTTTACAAACAGTTTTCCATAAGAATATCTGTTCTTAATTTCAGCAAACACAAGTCTTTAAATGAGTGGCTTATTTTCTCTGTCATTTTCAAGCTTAGGTCCTTATAAACAACTTTCAAACCATTAAAGATGACTAGTTACTTTCATTATTCTACTACAGAAGTATATTTCAAACTGTTAATTGTTCAGAATGTGTAATATTGCTCATTGAAATTAATGTATTTTTGCTACTATTTTGATTTGATAAAGTTTTAAAGAAATAATTTACAATATAATACCAATATAGAATGACTGTTTTTCATGATAAATGTAGTTTATGTTCAGCTCAGTTGTATTGAGATTTGAGCAGAAATATTGTTGGCTCTTTACTTTATAAATGATTCGGAGCCACCTTGATTTTGATAAAAGAGGGGTGGCTATATAAATCTTTGAAGTAAATAAATAAAATATTATTACTCTGCAAATCAGGAACTAGCCTTAAATATGCTAGATTCATTCACTTTTTTATCTTTGGTGAATTTACCCTTTTCTCTTCCCTTTTCAGCCTTAACCCTAGTTAGCATTACAACTGTTGTGACAGATTAATAATTAATGTTAGTAATTCTTTAATTCTGAATCAAATTTGAAATAAACAAGCTGAGTATGAGTCAGTTGAAGTGTAATGCTAAAGCAGATGACAAAAATAATATTTATGTCATGGTATTGGCCATAGAAAGTGTTCGAAAAATTTGATACCAGACATACAAATCAAACATCAATTATCGTTTAGTTTACACTTTGAAAAAAGGAACATAATTTCATTAGACCTAATTTCTGTGATTTACATATTCTTTGTTGTTGACTGTGATGATGATAATGTGATAATCTTTCTGTGTTTTTTTTTTAAATCTTGATATGTAAGCTGCCTAGAACTGTCTTCATGATTGAAATAGCGTATAAATTAAATGTATCAAATAAATAAATCCCTTTTAGGGGTTATGTGTACTTTATTTCTCATCCTCATGTATTCATACCATTGCCATGTTAAAAGACACATAAAGACAAATCTTGTTTAGTTCAGCTTCTAATGAGTTTGTGGATATATCCATGTAGTTTTCTTGATAATAATAACTAATTTTTCATTACTTTCTTCTGTTTTTTTTTTTTTAAATTCACCCTAGATTATAACCTTGGGATTTTCTGGTAGCCACTCAGCTAATGTGAAACCAGGTCTGAACACATTTAACTTTTTTAGGTTCAGCCAAATTCAGTTAGTTACAACCACTTCTGCTCCAAATCCACTTAATTGAGACAAGTGCTTGAACAGAAATGCTATCTCAATTCCTTATAACATATGACATATACAGTTGGTTGTGACAGTATATATTTATTGTAAATATTTATCTTTCCCATTTGATTCAAAATAAAAAGCTAATTGTGATTTAAAATCTAATCAATATATTAAATATATTAAAAAGTTACAACTTTCAAACTAATAAAGAGAAGGGGCTAGTAAAATGCGCAATCAATATGGAGATTAAGAGTTTGGAAAGAAATGTTTATGAGAAAAGAAAAAAATACCTTTCTGGAACAGTTTAGCAACTTGTAGTGAGTTACATTCTCCCGTCCTCCAATAATTCCTTGAAGCCTTTGATTGATTCAGTATGTGTTATAAATCTACAGTGGACTCTTTTGATTAACATTTATATAGAAGAAAACTCACGTATGTTTGAAGGATAGCAAGACTATAGTGGTGAGAGAAGGTGTGTGACCGCTATCTGTAATTTTGCACATCACTGACCTACAAGAACTCCATCTAATTCTTTTAAACAGGTAAAGAGATTCTGCTTAAATAAACACAATGGCTTGCAAGCATTGACGGAATAATGGATTCTGGATTGTACCAGCAAATTCTACAGAAGAATGTCAAAGTATCCATCAGTGAGCTAAAGCTTAAATGACAATGAGTCATGCAGCTCAACACCAATTCTAAACCCACAAGCACTGGCTGAAGTAGAAGAAATCTTGCATTTTGCAATAACCAAGCCTTAATATTAAACAAATTAGAATGATGTGACATGAAGCAAATAATTCATAGAAGATACAAAGATACAATGCAAAAAGTTGAAATAGTTTTATAAAATAAAATGGGTGAAAATATTTTCCAGGCTGATGAATTGGATTGAGCAAGAATATTGGATATTGGATATTGATATTGTTGAAATCAGCGCTGCTAATAGAGGTGCCACTAGAAATTAAATCTGCAGCTTCATATACTTTTTTCAATGATGACCATGAACATTGATCAGAACCTGTTTAATGTTGATGAATCTCTAATCACACAATTTATAGATAGTTTTAAAGGGGTTACAAACTTTATCTCACCACTAAATGTAATTTTCGAAGCATATTCCTCAACAAAATTCCTCAATGAAACAACATCCAGGTAGAAAGTTCATCTTATTTTCCAGCAGCATTTGATAGCATGAAAGTGCTTTTTCAGTTAATCTGAATCTGATAATGTGACAAATGGGTCAAGTAGCAAAGTAACTATGCAGAGTTCTATATAAAATGGGTGGCTATATAAATAGTGTTATAAATAAACAAAAGAACTGAAAAAACTTGTAAAAGATATTAGTGCTTTGGCAGTTAAAAGTGAGCTCCTTTGTTTATGTGTTGTTTGTTTTCCAAATACTTTTAATAAGCCTATATCAAAGATAAACAGCAGTGAGTCTGTGGGCATTTACAGATTTGTTGCTGTTTCATTATATTTTTATTCACAAATTTATTACAGGATTTGTCAGCATTTAATATTTAAACATACTGAGTTCAAATGTGTCCAGTATATCAAGTATCATATATTTATATATGTAAAAATAAGATTTTAACAAAAATTCATATTGTTTACAGGAAAAGCTGTTTCAAAGTGCTGATGGTCATTCTTGATAGTTCCTGCTGAAGTGGATAAAATCTGAGACAGCATGGAGACAAAATAAACTTCATTATAGAAAAGTAAATACAGAAATTTGTATATATATATATATATATGTTTTCTGAGGTTTTCACGGGTGTTTGTATGTAGGTCTTTGGTTATTCGGGTTTTCTCCCGAAACGTCGCCAAGACACTTCCAATTTTACGCGGAAGAAAATCCGAATAACCAAAGACCTATATATATATATATATATATATATATATATATATATATATATGTATATGTATATGTATATGTATATGTATATGTATATGTATATGCATATGCATATGCATATGCATATGTATATGTATATATATATATATATAATGAGTTTGATTTACATAACATACATTTTAATATATTTTACTTTAAATGATCAAATTCCTGACATGCATCCATTTTATTTTGTAAAGTACTATGGTTAATTAAAAATTGAATGTAAGGAAAGAAAAAGGAAATAATGTTTGAATTGATGCTTGGTATAGTATGCTGTGATTTAATATTAGATCTGGACTAGATAAAAGCTTTGTGATTAGCAACTCTTCTAAAGAACTAAGAGTGGATTTTTTATAATGTATTTTCTTTACTCTCTTGTTAAAGATTTCTTGCTGAAAAAATTTACTTCAAGGAGTGCAGGATGACAGATCGTGGAATAAAATGGGCTTGTGAATATTGTACATATGAAAACTGGCCATCTGCGATCAAGTGTACCATGTGTCGTGCTCAGAGACCTAATGGAACTATTATCACAGAAGATCCATTTAAAAGTACTTCAAGTGATGTTGGTAGAGACTGGGATCCTGCAGGTATTGAAGGAGGCAGCAGTCCTTTGATATGTCCAGATTCTAGCGCAAGGCCAAGAGTTAAGTCATCTTACAATGTGGAAAGTGCAAATAAGTGGTCATGTCACATGTGTACTTACTTGAACTGGCCTCGTGCAATAAGGTGTACTCAGTGCTTGTCTCAGCGTAGGACCAGGAGCCCCACAGAATCTCCTCAGTCTTCAGGATCTGGTACAAGACCAGCTTCTTTTTCTGTGGATCCTTGTGAGGAATACAATGATAGAAATAAATTGAATATAAGGACACAACACTGGACTTGTTCTGTTTGTACATATGAGAATTGGGCTAAGGCCAGAAAGTGTGTTGTCTGTGATCACCCACGGCCCAACAACATTGAAGCAATAGAACTAGCAGAAACAGAACAGGCTTCTTCAATAATAAATGAGCAAGAAAGAATGCGTTGGAGAGGAAGCTGCAGTAGTGGAAATAGCCAAAGAAGATCACCTCCCACCGCTAAACGAGAATCTGAAGTAAAAATGGACTTTCAGAGAATTGAAGTGGCTGGAGCTGTTGGCAGCAAAGAAGAACTTGAAGTGGATTTCAAAAAACTAAAACAAATAAAAAACAGAATGAAGAAGACTGACTGGTTGTTTCTCAATGCTTGTGTTGGTAAGTTTTATTTATTTCACTTGTAAGGCAAAAATATATACATACACATTGAGGTGCATGTTGGCAAATTTTGTATAGAGCTAGGATTACAATAAATGCAAAAAATTTACAAAAATCTGCAAAACATTCATAAATATACCAATGAAGGAGAATATTTGTAGCTTAGGTTTGAAATGAGGGGTCCTTGGTGCTCTCTGAGCTTGCTTGTTTTCTTGCAGATGTTTCATTACCCTAACTAGGTAACATCATCAGTGCTAGTAAGGAGTGCTATGTGCTGTCAGTTTATATTCTGATGTCTTGGCTGTCTGTGTGGGTGGGGGCGGTCTTGGGGATTCTTTGGTTGGGCAGTGCTAATGAGCCATTAGTAAGCAGCCCAACCAAAGAACCTGTAAGACCGCACCCACCCACACAGATAGGCAAGACTCCAGAATATAAACTGACAGCAAACAGCATTCCTCATTAGCACTGATGATGTTACCTAGTTAGGGTAATGAAACATCTGCAAGAAAACAAGCAAACTTAGAGAGCACCAAGGGCCCCTCATAAATATACATATATTTTGAACACTGTAGAAAGAAGAACAAATTCTGCTAACAGAATAGATTTTGTTAAGAATTTAGAGTTGTACTGGAGGTATAAAATACAATTTACTGTATTTCTATTTTCTATCTAAAATCCTGTTATTCTTGAAATGGCAAGATGTATTTTAGAATTTGTTTTAGTTCTTAATCATTCATAAGCATGTACATTTCTCATAAGGCAAAAAATAAGGTGAAAAAATAAGAGGCAGGTATCTCTTGAAGCATACTACTTCATTTTAAAATGCTGATCACTTAGTAAAATCTTTGTATTTCCTTAAGTAGTCTATTGCATAGATGCAGGCAATCTTTTTAGGTTAAGGATGCCTGTAGTATTATGCCATGTCTCTGATGGCACATCTTCTTCCATCATGGATGTAAGGACTTACGAAGGCGTACAGAATCCTTTTTTTTTTTTTCTTACACACAGGTAATTCTCAACTTGTGACCACAATTGGGACTGGAATCTCAGTCCTTGAGCAAAGTGGTCATTAAGTGAGACATCATGTGACTGCTTTGCTTAACAGTCCCAGCACTTTCAATTGTGGTCATTAAGAGATCATTCAGGTCATTAAGTGGATGGAGTTCCAGATAAGGAGTATGAGGTGGAGAAGTGCCTTGGGGGTGGGGGAGGCAAACTCTGGGAGGCTCTGCTCAGAAGCTGAAAATGTTACCTGCCAAAATCCAAGGAGGAATTTTAGCTCCCGAGCAGAGAGACACTTACATGCGGCCTATGTTGGCCCTCCCAGGGCTTCCTTCACATCCCTGATTCACCTAATGCACCTTTTTTTTTACTGTGATGCCTCTCTTCTCAGAAGCTCTGCCAATTGTGAAAATTTGAAAATAAATTACAAGATTAAAGAACACAGTAAAAATATAAAATATTTCATTTAAAAATAAAATATTTAAGCAAAATCATACATTAAAAAAATAAAACAGATTTAACAGATTTAAGACTATGTGAATACATATTTGCCTATTTGAAAATCAGTAGATATTTGCTATTGTGGGATGAAGTGAGCTGTCACTTGACAGCTGTTAATTTGAATAAAACTTGTTATCCACTCAGTTTTGGCAAGATTTTATTGAAGCATAACAGTTACTTGTCATGTTTTCTAAAAGTAATACAGGTAGTCCTCAACTTTCAATAGTTCGTTTAGTGACCGTTTGAAGTTATACTGGCACTCAAAAAGTGATTTATGACCAGTTTTCATGCTTATGATTATTGCAGCATCCCCATGGTCATGTGATCAAAATTCAGAAGCTTGGCAACTGACTCATATTTATGATAACTGCAGGGTCCCAGGATCATGTGATCACCTTTTGCAAACTTCTGACAAACAAAGTCAATTCACACAGATTCATTTAAGAACCATGTTACTAACTTAACAATTGCAGTGATTTACTTCACAACTGTGGCAAGAAAAGTTGTAAAATGGGGGAAAATTGATTTAACAAATGTCTCGCTTAACAATAGAAATTTTGGGCTCTATTATGATTGTAAGTTGAGGACTACCTGTGCATAAAATACTATCAAGATGTTGTTGTTCTTGTGAGATACATACATAATTATCTGAAATACCTGAAAATGTTCATTTTTTCCATTTATGCTAGCCTACATATATATAAAAATTTATATATTTATTAAAAGCTGCAAATGAGGAATTGAACAAGTTCTGTTCCTCACTTGAAAATAGAAATCTTTTTGCTTGTGTTTGAGAAATAGAGAATTTAGCAGATGGATGTCTTAATGGGACTATCAAATATTTATGTACATGTTATAGTACTACTGATGGGTCAAAACAGAATAATCAACTGTAGTATATTTATTTGTCCTATCATATGCCTAAGAACAATGACAAGTGTTTTTTCTGGGTATTTCCCTTTTTTATTAGTATGAAAAAGAATGATTTTTTTTTACATATGAAAGTATCAGATGGTATACAGCTTTTCTGTTGGGCTGAAATTAGGAATTCTACAGGTTCATATCTTAATATTCATATCTTGCTTCTTGTAACGTTGCATCTTTAAGAAGTCAATGTATTGATTTCTTTGATGTTTTGCTATGCGGTTTTCCATGATTATTCTTGGTAAATGTAATAGTCAATTTTGGATTTATTTAATTTAGTATATGAAAAATATATGAGCAGAATAGATTCTGCAGACTCCTTCCTTATAATAATTCCATTTTATGCCATATAGATAGTATTAATTTTTTGACATCAACCTGTGACATGCTTAGTTTCTTGTTAAATTTTGCAGTTCCAAAAGGTGTTTCCTTTTGCTAGGTGGAATCTGGAACTATATAGAGCAGTGGTGGTGAACCTATGGCATGGGTGCCAGAGGCGGCACTTGGAGCCCTCTCTGTGGGCACATGTGCCGTTGCCCCAGCCTTGCCTCCCCCCACGACCCTCTCCTCTCCAGAAGCCCCCCTGGAGGAGAGTCGCCCCCGAGCATGGCCCATGCGGAGCAGTGCAGCCAAGGTCATGGCAGCCAGGCAGTCTAGACAAGACTCTGTCCTCATGACCCATCGTGCATAGTTGATGCTGCGGGGCGCAGGCAGAGGGCATGGCCACCATGGCACTGCTGGGCGATCTGTGGCGGGCCCTGGAGGCGGTGAGTGGCTCAGGGCAGGTGGGGTGGGGGTGGGGCAAGGGGTGGAGTGGTGCCGGGGCCAGTTTTTGGGCACTCGGTCTCTAAAAGGTTCACCATCACTGATATAGATGTATTAATAAAATTGTCTGTAATTTTTAATCCTTAATATTTATAAAATCAAAGGGGAAACTGACTTCACCAATTTCTTCAAACTGACTGTAGACATTCATCTGGAAACATGGCACAAAAGGTTCAGTCAAAAACCTAGTAGTTTTATTTTTTAATTTAATAGTTGTATTCATTATAAAAGTCTTTTGTAAGATAGGCAACTTGAGATCCTCTAATATTTTGGATAGTATTTCCCACAGTCCATTTTTAGTTGTGATACTGGAAGAAGTTAATGCAGCAGTTCTCAACCTATGGGTCGCAACCCCATTTGGGGTCGAACGACCATTTTACGGGGGTCGCCAAACAACGCGATCCGCCATTTTTCCCCCTCAGGGGTCGTCGCCGTGCATGCCACGTCCGTGTGACGGGGGGTCGCCGTCACACAAACGTTGAGAAACGCTGAGTTAATGGCTTTGCAACCAATAAAGCTATGCTGTTATTTTTGTAATATTTTAAATTGTGTAAATTATGCCAACCACTCACAAATTCTGAGAAAGTACTGCAGTTATGTAAAAGTTAGATTTAATGATTAAAATAGGATAGAGTTTTGTCTGTTGTGTTTCCATTTTAGCGCTAAATTAATAGTGTGGGGCAGGATATGAATCTAACAAAAAATAAAGTTGTATGTTGGGAAACTGCCAGCTAGGCTGGAAGGGGGTGTCAAGTGTAGGCTTATTAGCTTAGAATCCTTGTGCAGCCACAAGAGGTATAAGTTAGATCTCCCCCAAGATCCTTTGGAGATTTATTTGATCATTCCCAATGGAAAGCAAGCAGTCTGGGGAGATTCTTGTAACTTAATAAAGAACAATAAAGTTGCTAGCTATTGCTATTTACGAATGGCTCTGGTTGCTTGTACTTGACATTGTTGTTCTCATAAATAATATATAAAGTGATAATGTTCACTTAATTCATAAAAAAAAATTCAATCCATTTGTACGTACAGTGATACTTGAAAATTTATGAACCCAATTGAATTTCAGTATTTCTGAATAAATATGATCTAAATCATGGTTTATTCTCCAGTACAGGAGATGGAGAATCCACTAATGGGTTTTCTCTGCCTGCCTGCTCTTGAGACCAAGTAGCCAAACTTTACATGCCCCCTCTTGCTCGGAGACCCAGTCTTAACTTGGTCTCAGCTCTTGAAGACGTATCTGGTTTGGCTCTCAGCAGATAGCAGGTCAGAGATAAATCCATTGGTGAATTCTCCATATTTTAATTGGCAAATTTTAAATTACAACTCTTCTAACCAAATTCCCCACAAGTACTGGGCTCAGTACTAACTTTATTTAGTTGGCAGTGTGTGGGGTGGGGGGAGGAAATTTCTCTGCAGCCTTCCTATTCCTTTCCCAGGGACCTGGGGAAAACCTTTACAGGAGCTGCTACGATTGCGTTTCTCCCCATTTCCCCAATTACGCTCCTTCTTGGCCTTCTTTGCTGGCTGCTCATCTGAACTCGGCCATTGATTTCAGACTCTCGGAGGCTTCCGAGGCAGCCAGAGGCAGTTCCGGGTGCCATTTTGTTTGCCATTTTCAGGCAAACGAAGCGAATTTAAGCCTCATGGGTTGCCTGCTGCTTGGGAGGCAGACCACGAAGGGGATTGCGAGCAGAGACTAGCGCTGCCCCGCGATGGCTCAGGGTAATAAGAAGTGCTGTTGG